TTTTTAATTAATTTCAACAAAACCAACAAACACTACCGTAACTTCAGCTCCAATACCAATATTTCCCAAAAACTATTTACCGCATTTGTATGACTTTAATATTATTTTTTATTGTTCTCGTATAGTAATATTTTAAGACCCATCGAATGCACAAAACTAATAAAGATATTTTTATAAAGAAGAGGAGACGTATTATTAATAATATAATACTATGTATATATTAAAAAATTGTTATCTGAAGACATAAAGTATAGGATTGTTTTTTTACTATAAAAACATTACTAGTAATCGTTTTGAAGACGTATGAATGGAATTTTTTGGCGGTTTTTTAAGGCCGCTTGTGCTTTTGGTAATTGTTGTATTAATTGTGAGTTTTGGGTATTAGAATTAAATTAAGAATGTCATATTGAATGAAATATGTGTATACAATAGTGAGGAATTACTGTAAAACGGATTATAAATAAAAACAATGGTAAGAACTTTTGTCGCACCTCATAAAAAGCAATATATAGAGTATAGCAAGCTAGGGCTAGCGCTAGGGCTAAGAGTTGAGCTAGGACTAGGTTAGAGATAGGGCTATGGAGCTAATAATAGGCCAAGGGTAAGGCCGGACTACAGCCTAAGTAAGACTAAGCTAAGGCTGGGTAAAACTAAGGCTATAGAGCTAGAAATAAGGCTGGTGCTATGGTTGGGGTAAGGCTAGGGCTCTGGGTTAGGGCTCTGGGCTAGGGCTTTGGGTTAGGGCTCTGGGTTAGGGCTAGGGCGAAGGCCTTAGGGCTAAAGCTAGCACTAGGGCTAAGATTTCAAATTATAATCTAATTAAACATTATATTTAAAAAACAGTTATAAACATTGCCAAACAATCCTAATACACCATACGTAACAACGTATTGCATTACAGGGATTAAAATTTTCTCATATATTTAAAATCACAGCGAATCCGATAATTATACTATAAATACGCCTTTTCTCGCATTCCCTTATTTTTGGGCACGTTGTAAAGATTATTCTTTAATGCCTGTGTACAAATGTATTTCGTGAAATTGTTTATGGCATTTTAGGATATAAATAGTTATATGTTAGTGGAGGTATAGGAAAATAATAAAAACGGGGGGATGGTTATGAAAAGGGTTTGTTGTCGGTTTTTTTGAAATCTATTAAACCTATGCTTACTGCGACTTACTTCAGTCTGAGCATGCTAAGGATAAGTCTAAGCCTAATCTTTATTAGCTTAATTCTTATAAATTTATATCATATTACGGTTACTTAGGCTATGCCTACTAAGCGCCATCATGTTAAATTTAAGTATAATAAACCTGAACCTGCTAAGCCTAGGTTTAAAAAGCTTAAGCTTACTAATATTGGGCATACTGAACCTAATTTTACTATACCGCTACATACTATTTGGAGCCGACATAAAGAACCCGCCATACTTTTCCTGTAAACAACGGCATGTTCTTTATGTCGACACCTAATATGTAAACTACAGTTAGTACCAACACTATGTTCAGCTGAACGATCTTTCTTCCCCTTACCTTTTGAACCTGAATCTTTGTATCCAATTCGTCCCTATGGCTCTAATAAGCCTAAAAACTAAGTGCCATTCCACTATTTTTTCAAAATACTCTAGTTTTTGCCATTCTTGAATAACATCCTCTTGTAGCCTTAAACAGTAGCCTCGTAATTCGGGTTTGATATTATTTACTTTTTACGAAATCTTTGCTCTCCCAAACGAAAATAACTCATTACAAATATTTTCATAACCGCAAATTTGTTTTTTGTTTCTCCGAAATAATAATTTATATCTTGGTATTAAAGATTTGCTTTACAAAATAAACGTATCAAAGTCCTGTTGTTTATTGAAGAAGTAAAGGAGAAGAAAGAAGAGTTTTTCCGCCATTTCTTTTATAATTTATTACTATTAAATTAAATTTTATAATAAATTTGATGAGAGAAGACGAAGGAGAGGAGGAGAGATATTCACTTTCTTTCATAATAATATACTTATTTATGAAAAATGGCGGTTTTACGAGGGTTTGCTGTTTTTAAGCTTATTTCTTTTTAGATTTGAATTGGTTTTGAAGCCTAATTCTAATATTAGGCTTAAAAATTTCAAGCCTAAATTTAGTGTTCACTTATTTCTTAAAATAAGCCTATGATAATTCTAAACTTTAGCCTATATTAGCTGCCGTCATAAAGAACCCGCCATACTTTTTCTGTAATTCCGTGTAAAAAGTGGCGGGTTCTTTATGTCGGCACCTAATAATTAATTCTAAACTTAAGCTTAAACCTAAGTCGACTCTAAAACATGAATTTTTTAATATTGTAGTTTTCGGAATTAAGTATTTTGCTGTAAAAAGTAATAAAACGGTTTATAATGGATTCAGTTAAGCGCTTAAATTTAAGCCAACAGAGGATTGAAACATATAAAAATGAAATGGGTTAGTCATTGTTTAAAATTACGAAATTTGACTTTTGAAACTTTAAGTTTTTTCCACACTAATCATTTCTTAATATACTTCTTGTCATTTTCTGTTTTGTACGAAAAGTTCTTGTTTTTTCTTTCTTTTTTGGCAGGGGCGGGCGGGGGGGGGGGGGGTACCCCTTCCAGAAAAAAAAATTTGAAAAAAGTTGAAGGTGGTCCCCCTTGTGGATTTGTGGAAAAAATTTTGGCAAAAAAAATTTTTTCGACTTCCGCTCTCACACCGAAAGTCCTCGCCCGGCCCTGCTCTTTAGTATTACTTTATTACACAAATGCTCAAAATAACGTCCCTTGTACTTAAAAATTTTATTTTTAACGCCAACTGTTTTTGCTATATATATTCTTTCAAACTTTTCAACGAGTTTATTTTCGAATTTTTTCGAAAATTTTTTGAAACGATAAACAATGGAGAGAGTAACTTTAGTATTCAACACAAAATGGGGATATTATTTTACTTTAAAATCAATTTTTTGTTTATACTTTTTGTCGGGATTGCTTTAGTATTATATATTATATGTTGGGAAGTTTAAAAATTAAATATTATGTGTTGGGAAGTTAGAAATGTTATCTTGGTTTTAAAATTCAATCATTTTGTTTATGAATTATAGAATGGCGAAAACTTTTTTTTCAAGATATATTAGGTGCCGACATAAAGGACCCGCCATTTTTTACAAGGAATTACAGGAAAAGTATGGCGGGTTCTTTATGTCGGCACTTAATAAATAGAATGGCCAAGGCTTGAGTTAGGGCTTGAGCTAGGGCTTGAGCTAGGGCTTGAGCTAGGGCTTGAGCCAGAGCTTGAGCTAGGGCTTGAGCTAGAGTTTGAGCTAGGGCTTGAACTAGAGTTTGAGCTAGGGCTTGAACTAGAGTTTGAGCTAGGGCTTGAACTATGGCTTGAGCTAGGTTTTGAGCTAGGGCTCAAGCTATACGGCTTTAACTACAGCATGAGCTATGGCTTGAGCTATGGCTTGAGCTAGGGCTTGAGCTAGGGCTTGAGCTCGGGTTTTAACTACAGCATGAGCTATTGCTTGAGCTATGGCTTGAGCTAGGGCTTGAGTTAGGGCTTGAGCTAGGACTTGAGCTAGGACTTAAGCTAGGGCTTCAACTGGAGCTTGAGCTAGGGCTTGAGCTAGAGCTTGAGCTATGGCTTGAGCTAGGGCTTCAACTAAAGCGTGAGCTAGGGCGTGTGCTTGAGCTATTGTACGACACGGCTGAAGCTGGAAAAAAACCATTTCTCTCACCCCCTTTTAGTATCCAACACATTCTCTTCTCTCCCACCTATTGAAAACTCTACTATCTACCCCCAAAACTTAATTTTATAGGCGATTGGCTGCAAATATAACCTTTTTTTACCATGAATTTTAATACTTTTTGCCATTTTTAAATCGTAATTTCATTTTGAATAATATAATAATTTATTCCATTTCGAAACTCATTCACCAAAGTGCATTTTATGAATAGTGGTCTTGCAAACTACTATTTAACTCGGTTGTATAAAGTAGGAATAAAACGTCCTTTTTTATTTGTTCGCTAAAATTTTTTTATTATTTTTCGGACAAAATTTTTTCTATATTTCAAAGTCCGTTGCCGTAAACATTCGCTCCATTTATTTATTATTTTATTATAGTTTATATAAGTACCGGCGCTTTTTTATAAACAGTCGGTTTTCGCGGATGTTATAGTAGGTTTTACTGTGGATAAGATTATATAGTTGTATTTGGTTGAACCGAAAGTAGCAGGATACTTTTTTAACTAAACATAGTTTGAACCAAAGGTAGCGGGACACTTTTTCAACTAAATAGTGACCCGCTACTTTTGGTTCAACCTAATATTAGGTTCCGACATAAAGAATCCGCCATTTTTTACACGGAATTACAGGAAAAGTATGGCGGGTTCTTTATGTTGGCACAGAATATTAGGTTGTTCACATAATTATGTGCCCCTTTACACCACAAATTTGCTTTGAGAGAAGGCCCATAATTAAGTGAACAACCTAATAGTTACTAAACTTAAGCTTACCAAAGCTATTGCAATTTACTTTGTTTCTCATATACTCGGGGTTATGTATAATCATTACCACAAAATAACTATTATGTTTACAATTTATTCGAAAGCACAACTGCACTTACTGTGAACGGACTAACTAAAAAAGTTAATTAATTTTACAGTAAATTATTACTTTCTAATGCAATTCGTAGTATCTCATATATTTTTAGGCAATATATTAGCATATAACTGGTTTGGGACACACTTTTTAAGGACAATATAGTGTTAGTTAGTACAGGTTCATTGTTTATAAGGATTATTGTAGCACGAGGTGAACGGAGGGGGGGGGGGGACGTACTGTATTTTTATTTGTATTTTGGTTTAAAAAAGATGAAACTGAGAAAACTTTCTTTACAAGATGTAAAATGGCAATAACTTTTTTTAATTTTTGTAAAACGAAATTTTTTACCGTGATTAATATAAACCACACCAACTTTTACTACCTACTATAATATAACTTTCTTCAGAATCAATGGAAAACCCGGAGGATTCTATGTTCTTCAACCCCTTTGGGGCTCTGAAAAGCCAGATGGACTTTATTGGACATCAGATGTTGCGGCTGTTACAAGTGATCGGACAACCACCATGTGACTGTGCCAATTGTGAAACACATTTACATAACAAACCAGCGAACTTACAGTTGAGACGTCAGAGTTCATGTGACCACAAATCGAACGCTTCGGATCGTGCACATTCTGAAGAGTCCACGGCTGCCGGGCCGCTGAAGCCGTCGATTGGAGGAGTTGATTTAGCTGGATTTCAAAGTAAGTTTTGGACAGGTTTGGTCGTATAAAATATTATAAAGTATTTTTTGTTATAGAAAAAATTTAACACTCAGCCTACATAAGTTAAGACTAGTTATAACTTTTTTTTTTCAGAAGGCAACCGTCGTTCCAAATATTTCACAGAAGAAGCCAAGCTCAAAGTCGCTGAATACGCAGTAATGCACGGTGCGTCAGCAGCAGCCAGAAAATTTGGAATCGCCCCTTCTGTAGCAGCGTATTACCAACGCAAAATGAAGAAGAACCTTACGGAACGTCGGATCCACGATGACCTTCGACGTCAAGGAAGCACGGAAGAAGGCGAAAGTGGCAACGAATCCCCACTCACACCCAACGGTAACGGCTTCACATTTGCCTTCAGACAACGCGGTCGTCCCAAGCTGATTGGCGACGGTCTTGACGCCGAGCTCGTGGAGCACATTGTCGAAGTGAAACACTCGAAACCCACCTTCAACGTGACCGCATCGTTCGCTTTGGCCGAAGCCAAACGCTACATCGCACAGCGTCGGCCCGAGCTACTGGAAGAGAACGGTGGTAGCGTGAATCTGAAGATAACGTGGGCCATGAAGTTGGTCAATCGCGTGAATGATAGGTATCGTGAAAAGTACGGTGACGTGATTCATCCGATCGGCCAGAAATTCGACATATTTGAGGAGAAGAACACACTGAACGATCAGCTTCTGAAGCTGTTTTCTGGTAACGATCCCACGATGACTCCAGAATTACTGACTCAAGTTATGATGCAGATGCAGGAGGGCAATATTGCTGCATGTAAGTTGATATTTTTCAAAAATCAAGGTTTATATTAAAAAAATCTTTGGTCCAAAATAATATTGTTACCTAATTTCAGTGCTAGACCCATCACTGTTCAATGAAAGTACTTCAAAAACCCAAGATCTAAGCCAAAGCCAACAAGTTCCGGATTCTGAATCTCCGAAGTTGTTCAACCAATCCATAGACCATGAATTTGACACTGAAATCAAGCCTGATGACTACAGTAAACTATTTGGTTCTGGCGTGGTTTCGGCGGAAATTTAAAGAGTACATTTCCTTTAGTGTAATATTTATAAATCTTGTGGTTTTGAATTCTCATTTTACATTTTTTACCTTCTATCTTCAACCATTCTACTTAATTTTAGTACCGTAAAGTGGTATGTTATCATACAGCACAAACTATTATAATATTTAGCGTATGATACTGTATAGCACATGGTACTCTACGATACTAAAGAATTATTTCATTACTATAGGCCATTCTTTTATGATCTGCAATCCATATTTAACACTAACCACGCTTTTGTTCTATTTTCCCTATCGTATAACATGTCAAACTGAGAGTTGAAGTTGTTTTTGGTGGAAAACAGATTGAAATTGATTTGAGTTTTTGTTTCATCTCGGTTTGGCCTGTTCTTAAATTTAAAAAACGTATTTTATATTGTCATTTGAGCTATTTCGTTATATATTGTCATACTATAGAAAAATTTACGATTATTTTTAGATATTTAAATTTGGAAAAGGTACTGTAGCATCTAACAATCTGAACTAACCAAAGTATACCATTTACATTATCGTTATAACCAATAAATGTTTATTTTTATAGTAAGAGGCGCCCTTTCACTTTATGACAAGCATTTTATACAACGACACATATTTAATATTAAAAAGTTAAGCATAGCCTAGTTTATTTACGATAATAATTAACCTATGAATAAAAACATTCGTCCTCGCCAGCCTCCTCACCAGTACCACTGAGTTCGACCGTGTCACTATCCAAATCAATTTCGGTTTTCATACAGGTATAGTCGGGACTGCAACGGTGATACGCGTATCCATAGAAATTATAACTAAAAAGCTCGAACGGGGTCTCTCCATGTAGAACAAACGAACCATCGGCGAACACTTCAGCACTTCCAACATAATCATCTTCAAAACCAAAGTCGTACTCCCAGACTTTGACGTACTGAAAAATAGACCGTAAAATGAAAAAAACCCTTTATAAAACTTACCGGGCGATCAGGCAACAATCCAGCCGGTTTTCCGTTACAAAGCAAAACTCCCGTCTTATCGTAACGCTTGGCAAGCATCGGCGTGATCAACAATACCATCAAAACGTATTTGAAGCTCATTTTTGACCGTTTTGTGCAACAAAGAATCTCAAAATGAATTTTCAAAACAAAAATGAATTAGAAAATAAATGAATAACCAATTCCTTAGTTTTTTTTAAGTTTTCTAAAAGATCTAAAATCAAGTTATTTTGTTGTTATAAAAACAACTTTGTTTTTATTATTTATATGTTATAATTTCATACATTTTCAATAAACAAGTCCCTTTTCTACATCTGTTCATTTTCCCAAAGCACCTTCTAAACTTCACGAAGCATTTTGGCGCGAAAGCCGAACCAGCCACACTATGCCAACCCATAAAATCTTTCCAGTCGGGACTCTAGCGGCATTAACAAGTTGTGTGCGGTTTTTTTTCAGCTTTTATCTTCGCGTTTTAGCTTCGTTCTTCGCATAATCGTCAAGCATCATGCAGCATTTCGTCGATTCTGCATCGAGTTTGTCATTTTTGTTTAGTTAGTGGAATGTTTTTGACTTTACTGTTTGTATTCGTCGTTTATTTTTGTGTATTAATTAGTTTTGTTTAGGAAATCATGAGTTTGGGCAAGGTTTATGTTGGAGGATTGCCTGAGGATGCGACAAATGAAGAGTTGGAGGAGGCTTTTCACAAATTTGGACGGATTCGGAAGATTTGGGTTGCTAGAAGACCACCAGGTTTTGCTTTTGTCGAGTTTGATGATCAAAGAGATGCTGAAGATGCTGTTCGAGCTCTAGATGGAAGGTATGTTGATTTACTTTGTTGTTTTTTAATTTCATGTAAGGTATATACTTAAAAAGACTGGTTTTGGTTTGTTTTTATTGAGAACAGCAGTTTTTTTGCTTGACGAAAGCTACTTAAAAATTTCTTTTAACGTTTATGTATCGAACACAGAAACGCGATCTTTTGGTATCTAAAATTAAAATTACATATTAAATTATAACTTTAATTTGTTTTCAGCCGTTTATGTGGAGTTAAAGCTCGTGTTGAGCTTTCCAATGGCCGTTCTCGAGGTGGCGGTGGTGATCGCAGAAATGACCGTGGTGGACGTTACGACAGAGACAGAAGAGACAGGTAAGTAATTTTCTTATTTATGTTAGTTTTTAGGGATTCAAGAATTTTCTTTGAAAATTTTGTTTACTATTTTTGGATTTTAAGATATCGCTCCCGATCTCCGCGCGATCGTAGACGTTCCCGTTCTCCACGCCGCGAACGCTCTCCTCGCCGTTCTGAGTCACCGCGCAGATCACGCACTCGTTCAAAGTCGCCAGAAGGCAGAAGAAGTGTATCCAAGTCCAGGTAAAATAAGATTATCCTAAAATTGAGAAGAAACTAATTTTTTAGGTAAAAAAAGAACACTTATAATATAATATCGTAACTTTTTGTTGGTTAATCAGGTTAATATTTTCAGATCCCGCTCTCGATCCCGTTCTTAAACTACTTCCTACAAGGCATGAATAAAATACCATTGTTAACAACGTCAACTCACTTATAATCTTTTCATTTTGTTTCTGGAAGTAAAGTATTTTATTTGCTTTTTTGCAAACACAGTAAACAGAAAGTTAATTAAATATTTTTAATTTTATGCTTAATTAAAAATCAAATTAATAAGTTATTATTTTTTTTTCAATTTAAATTCACTATTCTACATTTTTTATTTCAATTTGTGTTTTAATAACAATTTCCTTGCTAGAATGAACATTGGATTCACGGGTACAGTAAGACTTTTGTCCGAAATTTTTAAAAATGTTTAGGTTTTGATCACCTGCTTCACAAGTTTTTGCTTAAGCAACGATTATCTGAAATACGAGCCTCGATCGCCTGTAGATCCAGGTAAGAAAACTTGATTGGGTTGAAGTATTCTCTAAAGTTAAAGGGTATTAATTGTTAACAAAAACTTATTATTTTATAGGTTCTAAAATATTATACTTTGGTTTGTGCGCAACTCTTCATATTGATGTATCCAACACTGCCGATAGCTCCCTTGTGTTAATTGATTCCGAGTATGTTGATGGAGATATAATGCAACTAGCAGTATCTGGGTAATAGTTTTTGATACGATCTTAGAAAACGTTTTTACAACGTTTAACATAGTAACCTTGCAGATCTGGAAAAAAAATTGAAAATTTTTTATTACCCTTCCCAAATTCAATTTTAAAGTTTTACCTATTCGTTTTAAGCTTGGGTTTGAAACCGAATGTTGGGTATGTTTCGAAAGATCAATCTTGTGAAGTGGTAATTCAATACACAAACGAAACGCTTCTTAGTGTTTGGGTTAATGGTATACGTAAATTTGATACAACTGACGTCACACCGGCTTTAATCGGTTCTGTTGAGCATAATGGTACAATAATTGTTTCAAGAGACACGACAAGTTTATTTTAATCAGTATGCGATTATATATTTACTTCATTGACTGCGTGAATTTAAATAAACTGCAATTAATAAATTTTTGTGTGTAACAAATGTGTGTTTTTCTAAATTATTGGCATAGATGGTTGGGTTAATTAATTTTTTTTAAATTAACAGTGAGGATCACACTGAACGTTTATAAATTGGAGAAGAACTCACGACTCAGCGACGCGAGGAACAGTGAAATACCTGGGGGCTTTGTGGAAGGACGGTTTTAAGATTAAAGCACAACATGTGTGTTGTTAAAGTGAAATCTTTTGTGCTCTTCTATCCTACAACAAATTAAAGTTTTTTATTAATTTTTTTATGAAGCATTACTTTTACAGTAACAATTGCTTTAATTAATGTTTCAAAATTGAAAACAATAAAATTTTTGTAATTAATCGTGACCTTTAAAACAATATTTATATTAAAATCACACTTCAACAGCGCATTTTTAAATTTACATTTGATTATGTTTGTCACGGTAATTGTTTTGTTTGTAAGTTAAATTTTTTAAAACTATAGTTGCAAAAAAATACTGTAATTCAACACTATTTGTCATAAAATTTAAATTGTAAAACTTTGTAGTGTTTTTTCAACAATGTTTGTCCAGAACAATTACCAGTGTCAGCGCCAATTTCCTTCGAGCTGGACAAGCCGATGACATGGGGCACTATGATTGATTTTTATTTGATCCCGCTCAAAGATTTTACAATAAAATTTCTGAATAAAGGTGGCGACATTGTCCTTCATTTAAATATCATTATCGACAACGAAGGCTATGTCAAACTCAACTCTCGTGAACACGGTTGGCAGAGCGAGGATGACAAGTGGCAGTCGGAAAAGCAATGGTGTGAAGAAGTACCATGTATTTTTTACAGCCGACCGACATCGCTGATCGTTTATTGTCATGAGTCGCATAAAACTTTTGAGGTTATTGTTGATAGCAACAAAATTGGCTATTACAAATGCAAGTTTGATGATAGGGAGATTGTTAAAATTGAGATTACTGGTGATGTGGATGTTGTCAACAGTTTTATCTTGGAGAAGATTGAGAAGGCTGAAGAATAATACTGCATTGTATCAAAAAATTTTAAAAATTGAAAGTTTTTATTTGTTAAAAAATAAAATTATAATCAGCTATTTGATCGAGGGTTTCATTTATATTTTTTATGTAGGCTAATTATGTAAGCTTGCACTTTCATAAAATTTACAAGGGTATGGTGGGGCATAAATATTAATTATAGAGTAAGATAGGATGATATATAATTGAGAATATAATGTTGGGCAGTGTGGTTTTCAAAATTTTTTAATTAATTAGAAAACTTAAAAATACGTCAAAGAGTGGGACAAACTGTCACCGGAAGTGCTGCGGCCCATCGCTGAAAACTTTTCGAAGCGTTTGCGCTTGTGCCAAGCCGCAAAGGGGGGACACTTCGAAACCGATTGACTATGTTATGACTAGTACTATATGTTACTATTGTTAGTTGTTGTTTTAGTTATATTTATTGTTAAAATAAATATTTGATTAAAAAACCGTGTAACAGAACTTGTGGCGCACCCTGTAATAATTCAATTGATATTCAATTGATTGTGGCAACAACAGTTTAATGTTGCAATTAATGGCTATATTAAAAATTTTTAATAAAAAATAGAATTATTCAATGTGTTCAAAAGCATTCTATTTAAAATAGTAAGCTGTAAAGAAGCATACCAAAGTAATGTTACGGTTAATCGTGGGACTTGTAAGTTTTTCCTTAAAAGAAAATAATTTTTAAAAAAGTTTTTTAAAGATTGGTAGATTTTGCTTTTTTTAGATTTTTCTTAGCACTTGTTATGGTAAGATCGAATACAACTTTACGGAGCCGGTTGATAAAGGTAAGTTTAGATTGAATAATAAGCCTTTTAGATAGGCTACATTAGACTTTTTCATAGTGCTAAATGGTAAATATATTCTTTATTTTACAGACGTGGTAGTTGTGTTTTATCAAACCGCTCCGGATAATAGATATACAATAAGCTTTAAGTCCGAAACTTATACGGTAATGTTTATTGAAGTATATAGTACAAAAGCTAGTGCTGTATCCGCATGGATTGTCGAGGATATGATTGAGAAAGATAAGTTATTGTTCTGTAAAGACAATGAACGACCAATATGTTTCCGCGAGCATTACAGAAACGAATTAATTGTACAGTTTACTGGTAAAAGATCCGCTGATATTTTTGTCGATGGCCAGAAGCGTATGGCATACGAATCACCGCTCCAAAACGTTACGATTACAGATATGGTCGTTGATGTTGATGATATAGTGTTTTTTGTGCAAACGCTTTATTAATAATTGAAATTTTTTTAAAAATAAACATTTTGCAGTTTGACTTGCGGTTTGCGGCCAGACATGAGAAAATTAAAATTAAAAAATCGCGTTTTAAATTTCCCGCCAAATTGGCATAGTGTTTCAAGTTTTTAACTTTGTCACTTTTTGACTTTAACAATTTTTCTTTAATATAATGGTAGAAAGGCTTTAAATAAACTTGCAATTTTAAGTTTGTAAGCCTATCTTATTATTTCTAACAGCAAAAAAATTGCTTGCAACACAATGCCAAATTTGCCAAATTGGCGGGAAATATAAAAACATTAAGTTTAAAACAAAACCGCAAGCCAAGGTTTTTCATACGTGCTACTGGTACTATAATACAAAGAATCTGTAAAAAAATTTGAGCTAATTCTGAAAGTTGCAGGTTGGGCACTTTCCTTGTTAATATTATAGTTTCTTAGTTTTTTAAATTTTACTTTTTTAAATTTGAAATTGTAAAAAATATTTCTTTTTAAGCTTTATTTTAAGATTTATTAAGCGAATATTAGGTAATAATAAACTTAAATCTTTTCTTCCAAAGCCCAGTAGTGCATTATATCCAGCTTTTCACCAAAGTCGACCTTTGTTATAGTACAGTTTTCTAGCGGACAATGATAACGGGTGAAGTTCAATCCATCCGCAATTATCATAAAATCGTTGTTATCAACCGGTTGAATAATTATGCCAACACCTTTGTTGTAGTGAAAGGTGTTATTCAAGACGTCAAGTCGTTTTTCCTTGAAATAACCGTCTACCTCCGACGTGAAAGGCTGTCTTCTTGAGTTTAGCCGAGCAATTTCTTGGTCCAGAAACACTTTCATGGCTATGACAAGATTGCCGGCACTGCTGAAGAAGTTGATGAAAAAGTTGCTTCGGGGTATGATATAGGCATTGAAAATACGACCAGCCGTCAGACCAAAAGGCAACCCGTATAATAGTGGTGCGACTTCAGGATATTGTTCTGTTCGTATGAATGGTACGAGTGCCTAAGTATAAAAACCGTACAATCAAAACTAATCTAGTGTAATGTAGGGTAGGTAAAGCAGGATAGGGCAAAATAAGGTAGGGTAAGTCGCAGTAGGATATATTTGTCAAGGTACGTTAGGATACGGCAAGGCACGGGAGAGAATTGAAAGGTACAGCAGGGTATGGTGAAGTTGAGGAAAACTTACAAACAAAACTACAGTAAGCAGCATGGTCCTTCGTATTCGTTAGTAGAATGAATGTTTATTCATATCATAAGTAGGGTTTAAATTGCTAATATTTTTAATAAAAAACAAATTGAAAATTTAATTAAACACCAGGTTTATTAAAAAAATTGCATCATCAAAAAATTTAAAAACTATCACATTTAGTTGAGACCACTATTGTTCCTGCCATTTGTGACAGAGTCATAACGCGGACTATATTCCTTGTAATACAGAATATCCAGTTGCCCACCAATCAAAATCCTAATCGTACCACAATCATAAAATGGACATTCAACGAATTGAATTTTGACACCGTTAACAGAAACGTGTAACTGGTACGGAACGTACCGTATGAAGATGCCCGTACGACGCCCGTTGTAAAAATATGGCCTTTCTTCACATGCATATATGACTTGGCCCCAAGTTTCACTCTCAGTATCTCTTACAGCAAACATGACATAGCCAGAATGACCGGATTCGACTTCCATGTGGAATATTGTATCATCTTCTTGGTTGAAGAAACTGATGGCAAAGTCACCGTGGGGTATGATGAAAGTTCTTACATAGCCATAGGGGCGAATTGGATACAAACGTTCATGTTCAAAAGGTACAGGGAAGAAAAGATCGTTCAGTCGCAATTAGTGTTGGTACTAACTGTAGTTTACATATTAGGTGCCGACATAAAGAACCCGCCATTTTTTACAGGAAATTACGGGCAAAGTATGGCGGGTTCTTTATGTCGGATTTTAATAAATTTAAAAATTTTGAAAAATAATTGGAAAAAAATTAAGAAAAGGTTTAAATTGCTCTAAATCAAATAGCTTGAGGATAAGTTTAATATCATAGTAAACTTACAAGCAAAAAAAAATTAGTCCACATGACAACAATGTTTGTTTCCAAAGCAACTATTTGTTTTAAAAACTAAATTTAAAAAAAAGCTAGCCAAAAAGTTTTTAAAAAATGTTAATTTTATGGTTCTGAAACGTAAGCCTTGTTGTAAATCAATTCCCGACATAATAAAATTTAATTTGTTTTAAATTTATGTAAATTTTCACTTTATTTGCGTAATTTTAGACTTATAAATTGATAAAAAGCATTATTAAAAAAGTAAAACTGAAATATTTTATTGATCCCGTATATCCATGAACATATTAATATGAACAATCATATTAGTATACATATAAAAATATTTTAGGTAATTTTTACATAATTATAAGGTAAAAAGACCAAATTTCAGCAGCATGGCGCTGTGTAAAAGTACGTATTTAAAATACTGCACAAAAATTTTTAAAATAAAAAATTTTTTAAAATAAAGAACAGTTTTTAATACAAAAAAGCCAAAAATCAACGTAAAACACAGCAATAATGACTAGATTCATATGGCAAATAACTGGCAGTAATATATCTACACTATACTAACTAGAGGCGGAGGTTGTGAACTCCGCCTAGACAGGTCATCGAAGGAATTCTCTCGCGAATCCTGCAACGTGGGCTCAAATGACACAGCCGGTCGACTTTTAAGTTGTTCTTGTTTCAGTAAAGCTGATGTTCTAAATTAAAACAGTTAGGTAAATTAGGCACAATTAAAAAAAATTTTTTTTACAAAATTGCAAAAACTTTCTTTACAAAATAAAAATTTTCCTTAAAAAGTTAAAAATTCATCCTTACCTATACCCAGCCGGACCATATTCAGTAACCATATTCTTCGCGTATCCATTCTGACCAGGTGATGAAGCCGAACTCAAGCTTTTCTCCGTTTGATTATCCAGAAGCCGATCTTTGGTTAAATCATTCTCCTTCGATCCACGATAACCGACTCCAGTTGACGCTGTCGCAGCACTATGGCCATCGTCCGAGCCTTGGCCAAATAATGATGAAGCGCGATTAAAACGTGTTTCAATACGATAAATGTAGCCAACAAACAAGAATACCAAAAACGTGCATATCAGTTGGAGAACGGAGAAAATTATGTTTCTAAAACAGTTTTAACAAATAGTTAGGTGACGTAATAAGCATAGGCTTAGTAAGCATAGTCATACTAAGCTTAGGCTTAGTAAACATAACATACATAAAATTATAAGCCTTAAACCTTGTACCTACCTCATAAACCCATATTTTTCAAAAAACAACACAGCATCCCCATAGAAAACCAGCATAACCAAGACTGATGCACCAGCAGCGTGACTCAAGTCATGTAGCAAATTCTCTTTTCGTTCCACAAATCTCGTAGCCATTACAATTTTACCACCGTAGTAAAATGCATATGCTCCATAACCCATAGCAATCCCCATATACAGTATTAACGGTACTAGGAATGAGGTGGCAAAACTGATACTCAATGGATGTAGAATGGGTTGTTTCGTGACTACGTGAGTGAATATAAGAGAATCGTACTTCCATACCAATAAGCAAGATATTCCTGGCATCACTGAAATTATAGAAGCTTAGTAGAGTATGAAAGAGTATAGTGGTAAGAGTTATGTTAAAAAAAGGTACAGTGATAAAGGTTAATACAGGGTTACTTACATATAGCAAAAAGAGTAATGAGCACAATCCTAACACAAGTGTGTGCTCCTTCCTTAAAGTCATTTTCCAATTCGACGATTTTAGCATATACTGATGAGTTGATCAATGCTATTAATGCCCCAATTGATAACATTGAAAATTGCAATGCAAAGTATATGGGTTGATCCAAATGTCGAATATTAAAAAAGTGAGGTGCGACTAGTACAAATAGATGTGCCGAGTGTACTACCAGCACCATAAAGAGGAATACGCATAGAGCTGGGTCCGAGGCTCTGAAATTTGATTGTTATTATCTAAAGTGTACTTTTGACATCTAAAATAAAAAAATTTTTTTTACAGAATATAAAATGGCAATAACTTTCTTTCCAAAACATAAAATGACAAGAACTTTCTTTACAAAACATAAAATGACAAGAACTTTCTTTACAAAACATAAATTTCCAATAACACCCCTAACTTACTTTTGACAAATCGAGATCAACAACAAAAACATAGTGACAATAACAGCAATAAAACAGGTAACAATCGGCAGAATATTAATAAAGTTGGCCATAAAAGTTGTCCGAGATGAAAACAAATGCTCTGGCAGTAAAGTAAACACTCCAAACTTTGTTGTTTCACACAGTATCATGCCATCTTCAAAGTTTCTCGACAGTACGGTAATTCCATTGATACTCCAACCCTTCTGCTCCTTATCATAAACAGCACATGTATAGTTGAACAATGGTGGATAATATGCGGACAAGAACGATGGTCGTAATGCTATCAATGTTTTACCATCAGTCGGCATTATTAGTGGATCTTGTTCATCATGAGACTCAAGTAGTAAAGCGGGAATGTTGGCCGAAGTAGCGGCTTCAGGTATACTGTATATAGTATTGTTCTTCATACAAACAAACAATGTTACAGCAGATCGTACCGCCTTAGGTAGATGAACATAACATTTATCTGACATCTTTGTTGGAAAGGAGTCGGCTCCGGCAATCCAATGTTGAGATCGCATCTGAAGTCCCCCTTGCACACTCTCTAATGAGTATGGTGTAGGTAATCTTCTGCCAAAACTGGTCAAAAAGTTCTGTAATCGTGTTCTAGATTGAGTAACATTCCCAGATATATCCCCAAAATTCCTGCCTAACATACTATCCAGCACTTGTATAGTATGTTCGGCTATTTTCTCATCGAAATGTGCCGTTGTGATGTTATTCTGGAATGCCGGAAATCTTAAAATTGAATCCAAAAACCGTTGAACGGCATTGAAACCGGCCGACGTTTGATCCTGACGTTGTACATAGTTAGCTAGTACTCCCAAGTGCACCAAAATCGAAGACTGCTTCTTACACACCTCGTTGAATGACACATTCTCCCACCGTGCTACGCCCGAATCCCAAGTACATTGACGTTCCAGTTGGGTACCGTCCGAGTTGTATGGGCACAAAATGGCGGCTGATTGATTTACAGCAGTTGAAGGCCAATCAACACTGCCAAAGGTTTCGATTGACCGCTGTGACGTGCATTTTTCAACAATGTCACATTGATTACCACTAAAGCCATCGTAACACATGCAGTGAGGACCGTTGATGTCATTGAATTGGACAATCTTGTGTTCTCGGCCATAGTAGCACATAGGACGGCCGCCATCAGCACAACGGCCGCGACAGATTAGCTCTGTAAAGTAAAGACATGTTTTTTTTATATAATATGATATAAAATGTCATTTTTAAGTAAAAATTAACTGTTTTTTGTATAAAATGTTAAAAATTTGTGAAAATGTCATTTTATATTAAAACCCCTACCATTTTCCAACAAATTGAACTTGTACGCTTCACCCGGTGTACGTCCATTACTATCAACCGCTGATACGATTACTCTGTATTCTGGTCCAACTTGGAAGCTAGCCTGACTTAATGCCACACTTTCTTCACCATCAACTTCAAATGTGTGTAGCACATCGTTGCCACGGTGAATTTCGATTCTAATACTTTCGGCTATTCCAAATTCTGGCGGATCCCATTCAAAGATTTGATAGACGGCATTGGCTATGTTAACACGAACATTTCGTGGTGCTGATACTGATACAGGTACTATGGTAAGTTTAGAAATGGAGAAGAGTTGAGGGGATCCGTAATCAAATGCTACTACCTAAAATATAAAAAAATTTTTAGAAAGTGTTTAAAGAGACACAATATATTATAGATTTAAATGTTTCATCAATGTCTTTTTAAATGTAAAAACATTACATATATCAAAAAAATGTCATATCACCCACCTTAAGTTCATAAGGTCGATACAATTTCAAACCGTCTTTCATTGACTTCCGCACGTTTAAACTCCCATTCTTGTGAATTTGCCAGTACGATGCTAATGTAGCATCAGCTTCAGAAGGCACAATACTCAACTGTAATTGCGAGTTATAGATAATCGGATCATTATCAGAAACAACCACTCTACCAACTTCAAGGCCCGGTCGTAGTGTTACTGGAGCGTAGAATCTGTAATGATCGGCCGAAAACTTTGGCGGATGACGATTCCTACGCGTCACATGAAGCGAAAAAGTTATAGACTTCATCATATTAGAAGCACACATAAGATGAAGAGTACCATATTGCATTTGAGCCGTTGAACTTGGTACTTCTTTGGTTGTCATGAAGATTAATAGAGAAGAGTCAAACTCAATCCAATCTGTGTCACTATCAAGTTGAGCAAAACAGTTCTTCATATCACGTAGGACACGGTCAAAGGCTTCGTTTAGAGTGGCTTTTGTGCCTGGAGGTGCATTTTCGTAGACACGGATTTCGTATACTTCTGAAAGAATTAGAGGTAAGTTTTGAGAAGACATATCTAGAGTACATAGTACCTATTAAACTAAAAAGCCTTGTAAGTTCAGCCCACAAAGCGTAAGATGTCTAAGCCTACTCAGAAGCTAAGCATGCTAAGCCTACACCGAACCGTAATTCCAAGCCTAAGTCTAGTACGCCTGAATATAGCCCACCATTTGTAAAACTATTAGGTGCCAACATAAAAAACCCGCCATTTTTTACAGGAAATTACAGGAAAGTATGGCGGGTTCTTTATGTCGACACCTATAATTCTCTTACCCGTCGTATTATCCGTTTGTTTAAAAGCGACGGTTTTTGTCATTAACATCAACGCCACCGTCAGCATGACCAACCACCATTTTATCTTGCCGGTGCCCATTTTTGGCAATGTTTAGAATCGACCTGTCGTCCTCTTCCTTCAGCACAATATTTCGTTTCCGGATGTTGCAAGTCCCAATAACCAAATGTTTTTAGAAATTGGCGGAAACTTTAAAAAATGAAAAGTCCAATCTGAAAACAAAAGAATTTTTGTTTGAAATTTACTTTTTTACTTTTTTACTTTTACAATATTCGAAGTTACTTCATTAATGAATATCGCGACAAAAGTTAATGTGTAAAGAAAGTTTTTGCTATTCGAAGTTTTGTAAAGAAAGTTCTTGCCATTTTCAGTTTTGTAAAGAAAGTTATTGCTATTTTAAATTTTGTAAAGAAAGTTCTTGCCGTTTTATGTTTTGTAAAGAATGTTCCTGCCATTTTAAGTTTTCAACAAAAAGTTACAGCAAAAACAGTAAAAAATTGAAATCCCATGCCTTAAGTAAAAGTGTGTCCAACGTCTGTAAAGTTCATGGACAAAGATTTAAAAACAAACTTTGGGTAGAAATTTCTAAGACTACCTTGCATTGACCACGCCAACTCAAGCGGAATCAGTGCAAAAGTCAGGCAAAAAATATGTTTTAAAAAAGGTTTTTTAAAAAGCACGTACACAAAATTAAGTTTGCTAAGCCTAAGTTTAGTAAACCTAAGCCTAATATGCCTAAAATGACGTTCCTTCCCCCACTTCTCTTTTTAAACTTAAAATTACTAGGCCTAAGCTAACTAATATTAAGCTTGTTAAGCCTAATTCTAGTAAACCTAAGCCTAGTATGCCTAAACCAATCCCCATCTTTTAGACTTAAACCTACTAGGCCAAAGCTAACTAATATTAAGCCTACCAAACCTAGACTTATCCATAATTACCACTTTTTGCGCTTTAACACGTTTCTTTACCATGAAAGTAAAATCACATGCGTTATAAAATAATTCGAGCGTATCTTAAGACAATACCGAAAAGAAATGTAAATCCGTCGTATGTGGACCGTTTGCATGAGTAAATGCACTTAGTTTGTGGCCGCCGGTAAACAGGAAAAACGGGCAGGTTTTGATGACCGAATCTTAATTGCCACCTTTGAGCTTGGCCCAAAGGAGGTGGTAAGGTCGATGTAAAATGGCCATGAGGGTATAAACCATAAAGATGTTTTATATGAATGATATATCTTATTGGTTTAAGATAAATCATTTATATAAAACATGAAATGTAAAGGTTTGCGCAAAGTTATTCGTAGTTAATTTGACATATGTTGTGTAAGACAAAGTTATTTACCATAAATCTTACTCTCTAAATTAAAAAATATTTTTAAAAAACCATATTTCAAAAGAAGTAGCTTATAAATTGTAAAAATAACACAATTTCAAAAAATTTACGTTGCTACAACTATATATTTTATAAGCCCATGTATCAACATGGCCGTTAATGCCCATAAACAAGCTGGTTGCTACTGGACGCTCAATTGGATAATAAATCAAAAACAAATATCCAAACTGTTCAAGCGTACCGATCCTTATCATCGCACATTTTGTCTCTATAAGGTCATGCGAGGCTCAGTTAAGGTTAATGAAAGCCGTGAGATCCTCATGAATAAGGTCGAATGAGGAAGATGTTAATAGAGAAATAAAAACAGTCATAAAAAATGGCAATTTAAAAAAGAGATTTAGACAAAAGTAAGGTGAAAATTTGCAAATATAGGTACGAGCTTATTCACATGCCCTTGCGCCCCTGTTAAGCTTAAGCAAACTAAGCCTAAGCTCACTAAACCATGTTCTACTAAGCCTACTTAAGCCTATTGAGCTTTCTTTAGTATAAAAACCCAAACTTAAACGTACTAACTTCTATTTAAGAAACGATAAAACAAAAATGACTATTTTGTGAAAGTGACTAACCTTTTTTGGCTTTCAAAATAAAATTCACCAAAATTCAAAGCAACCTAAAAAAGGTAAAAGAGTATGCAAATTAGCTCGAAAAGGCGGTAAAACAATCAAAGAAAATCGATTTTGGCCAAATTTTGGTTTAATAGCTTTAAAGGCAACAAAGAAGGCAGTGATCAAATAAAATATTAGGCACCGACATAAAGAACCCGCCATTTTTTACAAGGAATTACAGGAAAAATATGGCGGGTTCTTTATGTCGGCAACTAATATTTTAAAAATAGGCGAAGGTCTAAATTAATAAAAAAAAAACATATATAAAAAATGTAAATATTAGGTGCCGACATAAAGAACCCGCCATTTTTTACAGAACGTTACAGGCTATGGTGGGCTTTTTTTGTCGGCACCTAATAATATTAGAAAAACAAATAAAACACCCCTAATTGAGACCTTTTCACGCTTGTCAACTTCTACACGGAAACGATCGAAAAACGTAACGGATTTAAAACACGTAGGGATAAGAAGTCCGTGCCGTCGTCAATCCGATCAAAACCAAATTTTTTAACATTGCGCAAGTTTTTTAAGGGTAAGACGGGATTTATTTCTTCTTTACCTTGGCAAAAGGTATAACAAAAGTAACGTAAATTCTTGTGAAGATAAGCTATGTAGTTGCAATGCCACTAGCAATTCGGAAGGGGTTAGGTTTGACTCCCCGTTTACCTCACCGAGAGGTGAATTTTAGGATAGGAAGTGCTGTAAACAAAAAAAGCATTATATAGTATATAATACTACTGAAATCAACTTAAAAAGCCTGATTCAAACAGGACTGGAGAGGGGGGGGAACTTTTGTTTTGGCGGGGGGGGTCGAAAAAAACACAGGGAGGAGGGGTACCCCGCTCGCGCCCGGCCCTGGATCCCACGATTCGAGCCTTCTAGGCCTAAATGTGATATAAGTTTACTAACCCTAAGCCATTGTAACCTTTAATCTACGTCTGCGCTTAAGTTTAAGAACCAAGGAATTCAAAAGCAAGCGTAGCTCTTGTATTTATAAGCCTAATAGCCAAACCCTAAATCATTTCCATTCACTCAGTATTTACAAAATATTCAATTTACTTAAACACGCTTCAAACTACCAAACATTTACAAAAAAAACGTTAAAAAGCGCAAAAGGCAACATTATAGTGAGCTTATGATCCCAATGTCAACACATAATTTCACCCACAAAAACTTCAACTATTTGAAAAATGATTCCCCCTGGAGCTGTCAGTCGAGATTTTCGTTTCAAATCCGTTCAAATGGACTGAAAAAAAACACAGGGATAAGTCGATTGCAACGACCGGTTATTGCGACTGTAAATCGTCATGCATGATGGTATACCAGTTTTGCTTGGTATTGGTCAAACTGAAGGTTGTTTAGTTTTTTAAAAATACTCTTTCTTATATGATATTCCACACTTATTAGTGCCGACATAAAGAATCCGCCATGTTTTACAGAAAGTTACAAGAAAAGTATGGCTGGTTGTTTATGTCGGCACCTAATACATGCATCAAACATTCTACTAGGTATAAAAATAAGCTCACTATGTTCAAGCTGAATAAACTTAAACCTATGCATCGTAAGCCTAAATCGTAAGCCTAAACCTTTACCACATATTTACCTGCCTTGTCCCAAAGACCATATTTCGGAAACCTTGTGTTACTACACTCGCGCCAAGATCCCTTTCTTGGGTCTTTTACCACGGTAATTACCCTGAAAACGGCCCTATTGTCTCTAATTGATGTGCGGGTGCATCCCTACTCGTCTCCCATTACCTGTTCCGAGTCTTTTTTTCAGGCTCTATTAGGCTTCTTTTTTTGCGATCGCCGGCAATTTATTATTGCCATATGTTGCGGTAGATTTTTTTTGAATTTTGAATGTTTTGGGTGAACAATTAGGTTTGAAATGGCATAAATTTTGGCGGGGGAGAATTTTTTTGACTATGTGGATGGCCTAGAAAGACTTTTGTTTAAGTCGATGCTTTAGCCTAGAAATCCTAAGCCTACGAAGCTTAACAAGTCGTTGTCGAAGTCTCCTTATGCAGTTTTATAATATTAGCTGCCGACATAAAGAACCCGCCATTTTGTACAGGAAATTACACGAAAAGTATGGCGGATTCTTTATGTCGGCCCTTAATACTAAGCCTAAGAAACTAAAAATAAAAAATTTAATTTCCAACCCAAAGACCAATATAATATCCGTAACGTTTTAAGTCCCCAAACTTGTCAAATTGAGGCTACTTGTTTGTGATTCAATTTCAAAGCCATTCATCAAACGCTGAAGCCTCTTAATCCCAGAATTACCTAACTTTAAAGAATCGTTCGTACGGCGCGTTCCAAAAAACTCCAAATAAAAGCATATAAAAGTTTAAATACGTTGTAAAGACCAGACTTAGTACGTGTAAACGATGTGTTACATAGCATTTGACACGGTGAAGCATTGATGTTTTACATAGTACGTTCATGTTTTACATAGTACTTAGCAAAGTTAAACATTTAGTTTGTAATCCATGTTTATCAAGTGTAACATAAAATGTGTCAGTACAAATTTACCACTATGTAAAAGATGTTTTGCTTTATAACCTTAGCCAACGAATCAATAATCATTAAAAGACAACCTTTATATAAAACACATATTAATATAGAGCTATAGTCTAAACATAAACATTTTTGTCCTATATAGAGACAACAAACGGTTCAGCTCATTAAAATGCGGCAATTGTAAGCAAAAAAAGACAAGTCCTTCTGTCATCAAGAATGTCCTTATATAAAGAATGTGTTCTGGATGCGCTAAGGATTTGCTCTTTGAAGATTTTTAAGGATTGACAAGGTTATTAGTCATCGTTTTTTATTAAGAATTTTGGCTTTTACCGTAATATCTTCGATTTCTTTAAAGTAAAAAAACTTCCTACCTTCCTACCCTGCTTTCCTCCCCCCCCCCTCTTCCCTCCTTCACCCCCCCCTCCTGTATACACTACCCCCTCCCCGTTTATAAAAGTAATAAAGAACATAAAGCACTTTAAAAGTACAAAGAATATCATCGTATAAGGTGTCGCTATAACAATTGCACACGTGAAAGGTGGAAGAGACAACGGACATTTAG